CTGTACAAATCCTGCACATCCAGGGGATTTTTTTAAGCACACAGGCAAACACCAGACTCACTGCAAAACTACACATCTTGAATCAATTAAGAATCTTCAACTTGGTTGTGTTTTAAAATTCTGTTAAAAAGAGTTTGTTCCAAATTGCATTTGCATGACCTTTTATTTATCTCCTATTATTTGAGAAGGGAAGAAAAGAAGAAATGCTGAGGAAAGAAGCCAAGCAATCATGATGGTTCAGCCCTTGACAACAATGGGACCAACAAGGATGTTATCATTACCAACCCCATAACCACACAAAAATATTGCCTACATTTTTCAACTGTAAGATGTGGGTCCATGCAAATTGCTAGAACATTCAGCCTTGTCTTGATGAAACCAATAATAAAGTCCAATCAAGACTCGAATGGTTTCCTTTTTGTCCACCAGTTCATGTTTCATGACGTCATCTGTGAACTAGTGGTCCGCAATGGCAAACCAGTTTTTGGAGACCCCAGGAGTCTGCTTTGTAGGATCAGTAATGTAGCTCAACAATAGTTCCAATTTTTATTAATGAAGAGAAAAAAAGTATGGTTTTTGAAAAGAAAAGGAAAACCATTTCATTTATTTTGGCAATAGTTCCAATTTTTATTAATGTAAAGAAAAATTTGTATGTTTTTTGAAAAGAAAAGGGAAACCTGCCATTTCAGAAAAAAGAAAAAGGTGAAATTTTGTTTTCGTTCTTAGAAGGATAACAAAAATATGGGTTCAAGTTGTTTATTTTCCTTTTATACTAAGCAAAGAGTATTAATATTTTGAGTGAACTTTGAAGCAAAAAATATAAGATTTGAAGCATATTCTAACAGTGAATTCCCAAAGTAGCCTTTTTATCAACCCCCCCCCCCCCACTGCAGCTGCAAAGCTTGCATTTTCACTGCAGCAGAAAAGCCAGGCTTTTCTCCTAACCCATACCTTACATATATTGGCCTTTTTTCATATAGTTCAAAACTAGGAACCCCCAATTATTACATTCATTGTGTTTGTACTGGCAATATTTGTGTCTTTCATCTCTATCTCTCATCCCCCGCCACCACCTCCTCATCAAAAGGCCAGCTTCCTCTCACAGATCAGTTTATCTCCTTTTCTTTTTCATTCACAAGTAAGTGTAGGTTCCTTCTTCCTAAATTTCATTGCTTTCTCTTTCCTTCTTCCTAAATTTCATTGATTTCTCTTTCCTTCTCTTTTGTGGTAAAGTTTTCTTCGTTGAATCACGTTCTTTCAATGAAGCTGGTGGATTTTTAAATGTTTCTTTCTGTTTCCCCCTTCTAAATCTTAGCTAACATGAATTTAATGCTCACCTTTAAATGTTGTCAAGAAATAATGTCATCTTCTCTGATTTGTTTGCCTTGCCTTGCCTTTGTTCTTACCTGTTATTTATTTATCTGAATATATAAAACCTTTAATTATGTTGATGAAGTATTGTGTTAGGTTTAAGGGTTTGGTTCCATATCTTCAAAACACCCTTTATTAGCTATTTTTTCCAGTTTCCAAAAGAGAAATTACTTCACAATCTTGGTTTTCTGAAACTAGGATAACTGGTCAAAGACTAGCTGCTAGTTTCTTTTACATCAGCCTTGTTCTGCCATATGATCCATGATTTATGAGTCCATGTGGCCTATATCGTCATCTGCTATGAATTATATTGGCTGTGGCTGTTATTTAAGCGATTTGGCTCTCTCCATTATTTATATTCACCGTAATTGATCATGATAACACTCATTATGTTTGCAATTGCGGTAAAGTCATCTAAAAAACAGCTAATCTAATTGATAGTCGTTTAGTCATTTAACTTGTTATTGTGTTCATCGCCTTAAACACTAGGCCTACAAATAAATGCAATCCTACTCTGGACTCAAAGCTGAACATCTATGACTGAAATGTGAAATTTTCGTCCAACATATCCTGTTCGATGGCTAATGTGGTATCACTGGTTACCATAAAATAGTTGAGAAATTTGATGCATCATTGAATTCTTTTTCTTCGTCTTTGTTGTTCTAATATTTGTAGCGATTTTTCTATTCAATTCTCTACTTGAAGCATGAATTCAGAATAAATATGTGTATGTAATGCTTTCCGGCTGATTGAATAATTGTGGACATACCTCTTTATTGTGTATTTCAGAGAGCATCCAGACAGGACCAGGAAATGCAGAAAAAATGTGTTTGCATGCTGTGAACTCTTGATCCGAAGCACATAAGTTTGTATCCGGTTCTGCATTACCTGTATTCGTTCTTGATGATGTCGGATTCCCAACAGACTGCAGATCCATTCCCTGTGTCCAAATTCTTAGTAGAGTTGAAAGCGAAATCTCTGTTATGTTAACAGATGACCTTGTTGAAGACGGTTGAGCTCACCTTTAGCCGCTCCTGCTCTTTAGATGATAGTATATATATATATATATTTAATTACAGCAGGAGATAAAACTTTATTGGAGTATGTTAAGATTTGAACTTTAGAATGGAAAATAAGGGGAAGGTTCTGGTGCAAAAGTATGAGTTCGGAAAATTGTTGGGGAAAGGGAACTTTGCCAAAGTTTACCATGCTAGGAACATCGAAACCAGCCAGAGTGTGGCTGTTAAGGTCATCGAGAAGGAGAAGGTTTTGAAAGTGGGGATGATCGATAAAACGAAGAGGGAGATATCCGGTATGAGCCTGGTTAAGCACCCGAATATCTTGGAGCTTTATGAGGTGTTGGCTAGCAAGAGCAAGATTTACTTTGTTATGGAATATGCCAGAGGTGGTGAACTCTTCAACCAGTTATCTAAAGGGAAGTTGAGAGAAGACATGGCAAGGAAGTATTTTCCAACAACTGATCAGTGCAGTTGATTTTTGCCACAGTCGAGGTGTTTATCATCGGGATTTGAAGCCAGAAAACTTACTCCTGGATGAAAATGGAATTCTTAAAGTATCGGATTTCGGTTTGAGCACCCTCGCCGTGTGTAAGCATGACGATGGGTTACTCCACACAACTTGTGGAACCCCGGCCTATGTAGCTCCTTAAGTAATAAACAGAAAGGGTTATGATGGAGCCAAAGCCGATATCTGGTCTTATGGGGTGATTTTCTATGTTATACTGGCCAGTTATCTGCCGTTTCATGATACGAATCTAATCGCAATCTACCGGAAAATAAGCAAGGCAGAATACAAATTTCCAAATTGGTTTTCACCTGAAGTGACCAAGCTGCTGTCAAGAATCCTCAATCCGAATCCCAAAGCTCGGATTTCAATCGCAAAAATAATAACAAATCCGTGGTTCAGAAAGGGATTTAACTCGAAATCAGTTCATAATAAAGTTGAGAAGGCATTGGTTCCTTTCGAGGTTGGTGCAGTTTTTAGTTCTGAGACTAACTACAATGCATATGAAGCAAAGAAAGACATGGCTAAGCACTAATTTGAATGCCTTCGACATCATTTCTTTATCGAGCGGATTCGATCTGTCCGGATTATTTGTAGAAAATGATGAGAAGAAGGAAGTGCAATTCACTTGAACGCATACGTTCTCTTCCATAACATCAAAACTAGAGGACATTGCCCAGAACTTGAAGTCGAATTTTCGAGGTGTTCTTGATGAATTGATTCATGGTTTATAAAGCTAGAGACATCTTCCACATTCAGATCCAAGCCAATTCCATTTGAGGTTACACGACTCTCTTGAGAACACAGATTTTCGGTGTTTTCTTTGCATTTCGGATTGGTATCAGAGAATTCATTGATAGCAATGCAAATATCAGTGTTGAGATCAAGAGGAAGACAGACAGGATGTACTTCGGTAACTTGAGATACCTCCTCTTCTCCACTGAACTGCAATCCGTGACTAGATTCTTTTCTTTTTAAGGGTTTAGAATTGTGGGTATAGATTTTTGTTCCATAAATAAAACGAAACCAAAAACCAAAAAAAAAAAAAATTATGCATTTTATATTTACCGGAAAGAGGGATAAAAGGCATAAATGAGGCTGCCAACACAATTATCAGTCGTAATTTACAAAGTAAAAAATAAACAAGCAATGTTTAAAGAAGATTATTTTACCAATAATTAAAATAAACCCCCCAAAGAAAAAGGCATAAAAATTTACCTTCAGAGCAAAGGTCAGAATTAAGATCTATCATTTTGATTCTCTTGGGTGAAATTTCATGTCTTTCCTTCAAATCATCAATGCTCCTCTTCACTCGCACCACCTACGAAATACAATCCAAAACCAAGAAAGTTAAAAAAAAACACTTTGAAGGAATAATTAAAGGAAGAAGAAGCTAACGTGGGAACCGGATTCAGGCAACAATACCAAGCCCTTGGCAGGATCAGCTTCATCTTCCATTTCAAATTTCAAAACTTGGAAATGGGGGTTGAAAGAGAAAGAAAGAAAGTAGAAAATCTCTGAAATAGAAGTTTTGCTGGAAAGGGTATTTGAAAACTTTGAATTCTAAAAGTTGAGGGATGGATTTGAACTTGCAGGAAAGAAATAAACAAAAGGAAGAGCGGGCTTTTTTCTTCTCCTTCTTTTTTTCTTTTAGGGGATTTTATATTTGCAAATGTGTTACGTGGGATTTTATATTGGATAAAATGTATTTTATCATTCAACTATCACTTTTGTTTTGATTTGGTCATTCAATTATTATTTTTTTAAAATCATATCTAAAATTATGTGTTATCTTTGCTACCTGCCTCAAAAAATTAATAAGGGATATCACATAATAATTGAAAAAAATAAAAATTTATTACACTAGTAATTATGTTTATTTTTTAATGACAGTTGATCATTAGGTGTAATTTTAAAAGAAAAAGAATTAGCTGACCGAAACAAAATAAAAATGATAGTTGGATGTCTATACATATGTAGTTTACTCTTTTATATTTGTAAAAGGAAATATAATTTACAATTGAATACTCTAAATTAATTCTATAGGTTTAAACACAATATTAATTACTTATATAATCCAGAGGAGAGAAGAAAAAAACAGTTTTTTATGCTTCTTTTTCTTGGAATATCTCCTGCAACATCCAACATCTGTGGAGCTGTGAGAAAGCAGTTTCTTTGTTAACCCTATCCAAACAAAAATGGGTGCACCTTGACCCGAACCCTGAACCCACTTTACTACTCTTCAACAGATAACAAAGTGAACCAGCAGCTCCAGTGCCCTGAACCACTATTCCCCATACCCTCGAATCCGAGACCTTCTCGTGTTGCTCTATTTGTTCGACGAAAATCAATCCATCGAGCATTGGACTCTCTCTTTTCTCCCACTTTTGTTTAACCAGAGCCCACTTATCTTCCTCCGCCTTCTCTGTCCTCATTTTCGTGGTGTTATTCTTTACGTCCGAGAAGACGTGGACCAAGAGGGGAGATTCCGGCAACTTCTTCACGATCTGCGCACCGAATCTCTCATCCACTCGTCGTCGTCTATTTCTCTTACAACAAGTCGTCGTGCTTCTTCTTTTCTTGTTTCGCCAATGGTTGAAGACTTGTAACCTTAGACGAAGACGGCTACATCTTGGATTTTATTGGTTTCGAGTTCGATGACGGTTGTGGATTTGACACCATGAAACGACGTGGACGGACGTTTGGTTTGTGGAAGTTGAAACGATTGAAAGAACCATGACGCTTTAGGTAAGCGTCTCCGCCGCAACAAACACCGCCCGCCACCGCCGTTATTATTTTTCTGTCCCCCTCTGTAAATTGATTTACGATGCCCGAGAAATTGAAGAATAAGAAGAATAAGGGATTTTAAGGATCGATAAATGTTTATCTTCAACCTTGGCGTTTTTTTTGAAAAATACCAGTGATCGGTATATTTATTGATCTAACACCAGTCAGACTATATTTCTCGATCTAACACCTTTTGCAGTAAAGCATATCTCTGCATCGCGCTATATGCTAATTTAGCGTCACGTGAGGTAAGACGCGCCCCCTGAACCGCGCTATATGATGACATGGAATACACGTAGTATAGCGCGGCCCCTGGAGCGCTCCTTACGCCACGTAGGGTATAGCGCGGGTCAAGGGCCGCGCCTTACCTTTAATTCTCTGACATAATTATATATAGCACGGAGCAGGGGCCGCGTCATACCTTTAACTGATATAATTATATAAGGCGCGATGCAGGTACCGCATCTTGTATAATTATAATAACTTTTCTCGGCTATAAATACCCTTCTCCCCCGGTTAAGTTCATCACATCTCCTCACATCTCTCCTCTCAACTTATAAATTAATACAACTATTCCGTCAACGAGCCAATAATTTTGACAATTGTCTCATATTTGATTCAGAAGTTCGTGCGATTTTTCGTTATAAGATAATTTTGTGATAATTTTTTTATTATACTTATTGTTTATTATGATTATTTGAAAAAATATTATACTAATTGTTGTCAATTAATTTCTGTGTTTGTAAAATTAGAAAGCGAGAATATATGTCGAAATAGTTTTGCGGTACAGGTAATAATATAAAATTATATTATTTAAATTATTTACGTTTATGTGTAAAAAATTTATTCAGTTATATTTTCGTTCATATATTATTTATTTAATCAACATTGTTTCAGTTGTTTTTTTTAGATATAATATTACCACTCTTTTAAACTCAAAGAATTGCACGACTTTCAGCTATTGTTTATTATGATGGTGAAATTCGAGAAGATGCAATCGGCGTTGTTTTCATATCAAGTGAGCGTGTTAAAATATCATTGAAGAGAAACATAACTCTTGAGGAGTTGATAACGAAGATTTCGAGGAAGATTCATGTTGGAAGTAGTAGAAGAATGTCGTCGTTGTAGTACAAATTTCCAGCATCATTGTTGCCATTAACTTATACAGCGTTCGAACTTTTGAACAATGATGATTTTGAAATGATGGTTGAAGCTCAAAGTAATTATTCAGATGCTGATATTGAGATGTATGCAAATTTTATTTAAGTGCGTGCCGTTTGGGGTCAATCATTAAGCTCCCACTATGGGCTGGCTGAACAAGTTGATCAAGTTGACAGCCCGACAACAGTAATGTGTAATTATTTTAATGCCATAATGGGGAGACATTCATCCGCAACTCCTTACGATATGTACCGAGGTGGGTCGACGAACAATCCGTATGGCAACATCGCGTCCAGTTCAAAGGGAAGGCATTCATCTGCAAATCCGTTTGACCTTAATATGAATATGTCATCGACGCAACCATCTGTGCAGTTTCCATTTGACACGATGGCTTCAAGCTCCAGGGGAAGGCATTCGACTGCGAGCTTTTTCGATCTCAATGTCGATATGCCTTCTAGTTCAAGGGGAAGGCGTGCAAGTAGTAGGTTCTTCAACCTAAATATGGAGTGCATGGAGGAATCATCATCTCTACCAGAAGAACCGCTTCGTGAGCCTGGTGTGGATGGTGCTGAGACTGGACTATTCATTCACCCAAAATCATCGCAATTCAACTCTGATGGTGATGAAGTTCCAGGAAATGTGGCACAAACTAACCCTCATGCACACATGTATGAAGTTGATTATGGTGCAATGTACGGGCCAGAATTTACGGATATGCCTCATCTCGGTGACTATGGATATTACCCATCAATAAATAATGGTGAGTTATCTTTAGGCATGGAGTTTTCAAGCAAAGAAGAAGCGGTGATGGCTATAAAAAATTACAATATTCGTAATTCTGTTCAGTCCAGAGTCAACCGATCCACGACCAAAAAATATGTATGCTACTGTGTTCGATGCGAAAACGGATGCAATTGTATGGTTTGCATATCAAAAATGAAGAGGAAAAACAACATATGGGAACTAACAGTATACAATGGTCCTCACACATGTTGTGCTGGAGGGGTCAACCAAGATCATCCCAACTTGGACTCTGAAATGATATGCCAAGCCATCATGCCCATGGTAAAAACAAGCTCTCATATAGATGTTGCAGTGTTGATTTAAGTTATACAATCGCAGTATGGGTACACTGTCTCCTATAAAAAAAGCTTGGTTGGCAAAACAAAATGCCATTGTCAAACTTCATGGCGAATGGGATGCATCTTACAACGAACTTCCAGGTTGGTTTAGTCTAGTGTGGACGTTGAATCCTGGGATAATTGTGGACTTCGAAACCTCCTATGGATACCATAATGACTGAGTTCTTCGAGATCGATGACAATTCTACCGGGTTTTTTGGAGTTACCCACAATGCGTTAATGTTTTCAAATACTGCAAACCTGTGGTCCAGATCGACGGGACTTTCTTGTATGGAAAATACAAGCAAGTTTTATTATTGGTAGTTGTCCAAGATTGCAATCGCAACATTCCTCCAGTTGCTTTTGCTCTTGTCGAAGGAGAAGACACAGATTCTTGAGCTTTTTTCCTCCTAAATTTACGTGCACATGTTATCACGAGGGAAAACATCTGTGTCATTTCAGATCGCGGAGCTGGGATCAAAGCAGCAATGGAGTCTTTGGGTCTAATGTGGCAACCACCCTTTGTCCAACATAGGTATTGTCTCTGACACATTGTTGAGAACTACCATGGAAGGTACAAGAAGAATTATGAGCGTCAATTAATTGTGCGCATGGGTAAGTGAAACTGATGCAGTTTGTTTTCTTTCGATCGTTTTAATTTTGTAAAGAAAGCAAGTTAGTAAGTTATACATTTTTTGATCAGGTTACGAACTACTTCCTCGAACGTTTGAATCAAATTTATGGGTGAAGAACGAGGAATGATATGATTATATCAGCCTCATCCATAAAGAAATGTGGACGAACACATATGATGGTGGATATCGATATGGACACATGACGACCAACTTGACAGAGGCAATCAATTCAACCTTAAAGGGTGCACGTCACTTACAAGTAGCGGCTTTGGTAAAAACTACATATTTTCGTTTGGGGCACTTTTTGCGAAGCTCAGGGGACAAAGTCAAACCTGGATGCAAGGCGGTCATGTCTATCACCCTAGATTAGTTGCAGATCTACAGAAAAAATTTCTACATCAAATAGAATGTATGTAACAAGCTTCTCTAGAAGGCATGAAATGTTTCATGTCACAGAGTTGCTGCGACCTCTTCAATGGATTGAAGTTGTGTTGTTAAGAGTAAATCTAAGGGACAGAACGTGCGACTGCGGGTTTTTTCAAGCTCTGAAGTATCCATGCTCTCATGTGATAGCAGCTTGCTCACATACATGTCAAGACTATAACCATTTTGTGGATCCCATAAACCTACTATCTGAAGTTTTTAAGGCATAAGAATTTGAGTTTGCCCCATAGGTAATGATAAAGACCCTGATGAGGTTCAAGATTGGCTTCCGATTATACCAAATCCGAGTTTATTGAGTGAGTGTGGTCGTCCAAAATCCAATCGAATTCATTGCGATATGGATATTCGAGAAATATCTAGACAAGACAGAATATGTGGGCATTGTAGAAACCCAGAACACACTAGAAAACACATGTCCACTTCTGTTGCCATAAAGTAACAATGATGAGGAAATGATGTATTTGTTTATCAAATAATAATTCTTGTACTTTAATTTGCATTTACTTCAAGTTAATGTCATTCGATAATCGCTGATGAAGATTAAAAAAATGATACAATAATATGAGATTAGACGTTTGCGTTATATGTGATTATAATAAAAGAGATAATAAGCGACAAACTTAAGAAAGTTATCGAACACAATCATTAAATTTTATCAAACTAATAACAATTTGGTATTTCAAAATAATTTTAAATACAACAAACTTACAATAAGTATTAAATGGTAAATGATAACCAAATTACAATAACTGATATTAAATGGTAATAAACAAAATTAACTGAAATACATTAAAAAAAGTCCAACAAATTTAACAAAATAAAGTAAGTATTAAATGAGAAATAATAAAAAATTACAATTAAAAAGTCCAATAAACTAAATACAAATATAATAAAAAACAAAATCTATCGATGCATGCGATGCGAATGTGTTCCGCAGGGCGGTGGCTGTCGGTCTCGAGAAGGATTTCTTCGTATCACTGGTTATGACTCCTCGCTATCATCATAATCACCATCGTCGTCGTCTTCCTCCTCCTCCTCCTGAGTAGGTACATTAGGTTGATGAGGAGCTGATGACGATGAAACACCTCCATAGAATAAGGACCCTGGAGGTGTATGACTGACTATCCCACCGGCCTACGAAAACTGGGAAAACTCATAAAACCCAGACATCGCTGAGTGTGAAAACTGTACAAGAGGTGTCTGTGCTGCGGCCATGGGTGATAAGGGTGAACCCGCCAAATATCTAGCATATGAACCCCAAGTCGGATCTGCAAACATAGACCCATA